CCCAAATAGAATACTACTCACATGATGTATCAAAGGACTCCCAGGCAGCCAACGCAAATGATGTCTGCAGGATGCCACAGCCTGTCATGAACGATCAGCTTGAAGTTAACAACCCAACGCCTTCGGTTTAGGGTTTATATAGGGTTTCGGGTTGAGGAATCTGCCCAACAACTAAGCAATTGATGCACTCAAAAGCCGCCAGGTACACAGCTGGCGCTTGATTTTCTGCTGACGTGTCTCCCAGTACACGACCTTGACACAGCTTCAGCCTCTGAAAATCTGGCATGCGCTTCAGCCACATCTGGGGGCGGCGACATTGGGATCAAGCTCGCCATTGCCAATGGCCTGTTTTGCCAGATTAGCGCTGCGTAGGATCCAAGTCAGGCACGCCGCATACCGACAAGCTGAACATCTTTCCCGACGTCAGGGATCCCATGGCCTTCTCCGCCTCTTGCACTTTCGGTGACTGTCTGCACGAGATGTCAGAGGATACCGAATAAGACCTGGCCGCACTTTTGAAAACGTACCTTTGAGGCATTCCTGTGCTCAGTCTCTTATGAAGCATCGTGTAACTCATGCAATGCATTGGTGGACAGCAATCTCTGAGGCTACGGCAGAACCAAGAAAACATGCGGTGGCAACGCCTAAAAGCATTAGGCCACGAACTGAGAACTAGACTTGCCATCAGCTGAAGTGCATGCAAAGCCTCGATGTTGTCCATGCCTGCGTTGATCTCTGGATTGACCATGCTGTTGACTTCCCAGCACCTCAATAGCGGACGTTGAATCAACCGGGCACGAACGTAACGAGCCTACAGCCGCTTCTCGGCGTTAGGATTCTATGGACTGGAAATTGAAATCAAGTAGAAACGGTGTTCAGAACAAGTAAACATTGTTATAGAAGGGTATTTCTTTCACGAGAGGGAGGCGATTCCGTTATCCATCTCTCTCTTGAGGGAAGTTTGTCTGAGATCTCTGCTCATCTGCCGTCCTCAAGAGCCTTGACATGTTGACAAAAAGCTTCATTGTTGCGCTCACTCCGCTAGATGCAAAACATGATGATGCGAACTGGCGCCCAAACCGGAAGGCTGGAACGTACGTGAGCTCGACATTCCTGGAAAGTGACAGCGGCTGCTTTCCAATGTATCACACCAGCCGTGCTCCGCATGTCTTCGAGACTTTAAGGTTTCTGCGTAGCTTTGGGCTTTGCCCATGTTCCGCGGGCGCTTTGGACCTGCAGATGATTGTGAACCAGAAGTGTCTAAATTACGGCACACACCATGAACCTTCTTGCCGTGCGATTGCAAACGCACCGGCATGTCCTGACATCAGAGCTCGTTTTCGACGTGTGGCTCTATATACTCTTGGAGCAACACAAGGGTTGGCTTCCTCAGCCTGCAAAGCAGCTGCAAGCAACTCAGCGCTGCAGCTGGGGTCGTACCTCATTCTAAACTCCTAGGATCCTAGCATCCCCCTGAGTATCTGCTATAGCAGACCCCTATATAATCCCCTTTAAGGAGTTTAGGCCATAGGTCGTTTCAGGAAGACGTGGTTCCAGCGAGTGGCGGGGTTCTGAGTTTCAAGTGAGGCTGGAGCATTTGAAACATCTTGTGGATCCGTGGCATGTAGCAAATCTCCTCGCCATACCAATGTGTATGTTTCTGATGCATGCGCAGCTACCTGCAACACAGCTGTTCAAGCAATTGTTTTTGACGTTGATGACCCTAAACCCTAAACCCACAGCTTTGTGAGTGTACAGAACCAGCTTCATCCCACTCCTTCAGCGAAAAGCACAGCTGGGTCTGGTACTTCAAGACCTATGACATGAAGCAGGTCTTCAAAATGCAGCAGCGTACTTCCAACTTTAATGCTGATTATATGGTCCCCCTTAACTAGATAGAATATAGCTTTGGGTATATTAAAATAAGATCCTCATATACCTCATATTCGATCTACTCAAGGGGACTATATCTTGAACTCATCAAAAAGGTGGTCATGAGCATCTGGCTCCATCTGTTTGGCTTTGCGCCTGCGCAAGGCACGCTTTACAAAAACTGTTCTTACTGGTTATTAGTAGGGAATAGGGGAATATAATCCCTATAGGTATGACATACCCACATGATATGTTCCCAAATTCCTACCATAACCCCAAATATGTACCCCCGATTATAGTATAGTAGCTTCTATTTTCTTTTCCACTATCCCCGCATTACCCCCCCCATATTACCCCATGGAAAAAGTGTAAGGTGTGTCCACTGGTATGATGAAGGTCAAACTGGAACCTAAGCATACTTGAACCTTAGGGTTTAGGGCCAGGCGAAATCATCTCCTTGTAACAAACACCCTCACCTCGGTTGTCTAAACTCCCCCACCTCGGTTGTCTAGACTCCTGTAGTAGTTCCCTATATAACCCCTCATATTACCCCTTTAAGGAGTTTGGATTGTCGTCCATATAGCGCCCTTCTATAACGAGGGGATGATCTGTTTTGATGAGTAGGGGGGGCTATTTTTGGAAGGAGGGATTGCCTTTGCCCTGCAGAGCTTTTTGCCCGAGCTGACCGGTGCCAACTGCTTGGTGCATCTGTGCATATCTGCGCTGTACACTGCAGATGCTGCAGCCCCTTCACTAAGCTCCTGCCTGCCCGCGGCTGAACCGAACACTGGATCCATGTGGGGGGTTTCTAAGAATGGGGGGGTCGCTTTCTACTTGGGGGGTACCTGCCAAACATAGTAGATTGGGGGTATATGAGGGGAACCCAAATGCCATGATTGGAAACGGCACGAGCTGGGCTCAAACATAATCCGTTCTGCCACTTAGTTATGACCTAGAAGCCCATATACTATAATATGCTATAGCACCCTATAATACACTATAATATACTAAAATACAGTATAATATACTATATATAGTATAGTACACTATAATATGTAGTATAATATGCTATGCCATACTTCATGAGCTAGAAGCCGATCTGGCGGTGCATTGGGGTAACGTGGACTGAGATCTGGACAGGCCATGGCAGTGTGGGCCCAAACAGGAAGTGCTGGATGACCGGAAACTTCCCAAGGACCTGCGGGAATGGAAAAGAAAATGGATTACATTGGGGTCATATTGGGGTTATATTATAGGGTTTATTCGGTTGTTTTGGGATAGAGCACATGAGCCAGGGATCGAGCAAATGGGTGGTTCCCTGAATTAATGATACCTTTTTGGGGGTCCCCATAATGATGATTCTAGTATTTTGGGGTCTATATTAGGGTCCCCTATTTACGGAAACGACCAAATGGACTATGATGAGCAACCGAGCTGTTGCAAGCCTCTGCTCTCCACATCTTTGTCAATCCTGTCAACCTCAGGTCCAAACTGGTTGACAGCTCTGAGTTCTGACCAGCTCAAGTTCCGCACGTGCGTTGCCAGTCAGGCACCTCACGTCACATAGGCTGCATGGCTGCAAGACACTGAGGCGCTCTTCCCGGTAGGCAGCTCGCGGAACTGACGTCGAACAGATACGGGGACGTCTCATGAAATGCTGCACCCCGCTTGGACAGAAGTACCTGCACGAAGGGAGACGCCGAGTTTCATTGGCGATGTGTATGCGGAACTGTGATGAGACCGGCCTGTCGTATGGCATCAACCTTGCTAGTTGTTGCAAGCATCAAAGCAACACCTGCATGCCGGAAAGCTCCAGTGCAGTCTCGTCGCGTACATGTACTCGTCTGCAAACTGCTCAACAATCTGACAGCAATTGCTCTGAAGTCAATGGTGCAGCAACATAATGTAAGTGTCAAGCAGCATAAGGGTGCTGCCCAACATCGGAGGCTCGGCATATCTATCTATATATTCTAGAGACTCAAGTGCAACAATTCCTCTTAAACCTCCATAAAGAGCCGTCACCTGCTGAACCAGCTCCGAGCCTTTTCTCGGTACACCTCGCCGGTGGGCACCTCTCGCGATCTTTCACTCTTTCATGTGCTGGCAGGCCGCACACAAAGCTAGCAATAGGATGGTTAGGGTGGTATTCACCCCTTTTTCCCTGGATCTGCTCATGCAGAATGCAGCCGACCTCCTCTTCCTTCCCGATGAGCTGCGCCGCTCCAAATAAGAAGGGCAAGTGATGGTAATCCTCCCATGGCAGAAGTTGAACAAATGAGCTATACTCTAAACTCCTAGTATCCCCCTTAATAACCCCTATAATGCTCCCCTATATAATCCCCTATATATTTCCCTATATAATTCCCTTTAAGGAGTTTAGACTATAGCTCAAAGGGCGAAAGCAATCCCAGAGTTCTGGGCTTACGGCATCCAGTCCCCAAACTCCATGCGAGCCTGGCAGTGAGAGTGCGCATTGATATCAGAAAGCGCGACTCGCATTGGGGTAGCTTCCGTAGGTCAGTGCCTGCTGGCTCCAGCATATACACCTCGGAGCTCGCATTGCTTAAGACGTTTGAAAAGCTTTTTGCACTGCACATTTCCGGGCGCATTGGGTGGACGCTGCATTCATGAAAACTTGTAAGCGCCGTTCCTTCTGCAGCCTCCGCATCAGGCCGATATAGTCTGCAAAAACCTTGGCCAATCTCTACAAAAAGTAGAGGCCTGGTGATTCTTCTGAACAGGCCTCAAGCTCCCTTTTCCCTACTCGAAAGCTCGTTCGCTGCTAGCCTGCTGACCACTAATGTACCGAGCTGGCTGAGCTCTGGACTAAAGTTGAAGTATATGCCTTAATCGGTCCCCCTAACCCCTTATATACAATATATATATATACACATAATATATACCCCATAGGTCCCCCCTAAAACCCTAAACCCCAAAACCCCAACTTTAGTCCTTAGCTCGGCTGGGCCAAGGCACCACAAGCACCGCATCGGCGGCGTCAGAGCGGGCAAGCACTCCAGTCCTTGTGACCGATATGTTCTTGCTGATGTTCTACTGCTCCTCCTCCTCTACTACTACTACTACTACTACTACTACTACTACTACGACTACTACGGCGACGGCGACGGCGACGGCGACGGCGACGGCGACGGCGACGGCGACGACGACGACGACTATGAC